CTCTTCAGCATTCCCCAGTGTGAGAGTGTTGCTCTTGTGTTGTGGCAATGCTGGGAGCAGAGGCCCAAACTGTCTGTTACTCCTGTTTTGTCCAGGTGCAACACTGGCTCCTGCAGCTGGCCTTGGAGCTGGAATCCAGACTGAACAAGGACAGGAGCCAGGTAAGGAGGGGAGGCACAGGGACAGGAGGCAGGTAAGGAGGGGAGGCACAGAGACAGGAGACACACAGTGCATTTGCACTGTGAGTGGTTTGCAGGAAGTTAAAGGTGGTGTGTAGCAAGGGAGGAAATCTGCTCACCTACAGATGTGTGCCTATGTGCTGAGGTGTCCCAAGCAACAAGGTGTACAGGAGCGTGGCTGGAAGGATGGTTTTGTCTCAGAACACTGCAGGGCTAAGCTTGAGCCTTGTCCTGTGCTTTAGGATACAGGGACATGAAAGCCGCTGCACCTTCCTCCTGGCGCACTGCTGCTCCCTTGCAAGCCCTGTGCTGATGTAGCTGTGCCTGTGGGCTGTGGGAGGAAACGATATGCTCCAATCTGGATGATGGGCTGCAGGCCAGGGAGAGAGTAATCCGCCAGCTTTGACGCTGCAGCGGTGCCAGGAAAAGCGGCACAGCTGCCTTTGAGGGAAAGCAAGGCTTCCCTCAACTAACTGCTTCCCATCCTGTGTGGCACAGCTGTACAAGCACTTGCTGTTGTGTGTCCCATTCCTTGGCAATCAGGCCGAGCAGAACACACTGTCCCACCGCACTGTTGGGCGGTCGCGCAGGGCTCCAGGCAGGGGACGGTACCCACGGCCGTTCCTGCCCCTTCCTGCAGGAGTCGCTGGAAGCACAGCTCATCTCTGCTCTGTTCTTCCTGCAGAACCACCGTGTGGCCCGGCAGCTGATGGTAGTCATCCGCCAGCAAGGGGACACCCGCGTGTCGCGCTTCTGCGCCCTGTCCCGCTACGACGCACAGAAAATGTGCAACGACGCCTTCACCCTCATCCAAAACTGCAATGCGGCTGGGGTGCACCAGGCAGCATGGTGAGTGTGGGACAAAGTGGGCCACCTCCCTGTCAGGGCTGGTTTAGCTGTGGGAGGTGCTGGCTGAGCCAGAGACTTATGAGAGTTACGCTGAGGGGCAGGAAAAGTGATTCCCAGCACCCTCACAGTGGCGTGCAGCAACCTCCTATCCATAGGACAGCTATGAGAGCCTGACCTCCTCCTAGCCCCACATGTGGCAAGACACTTCTGACTTCTGTACTTGGAGCTGATGATTGCTACCGGCTGGGGGGTGTCCAGCTGGAGCGAGGCTGTCCTGGCCCTGCTGGGCTGCAGAGGCCTTGCTCTCCTACCATAAGGACAAAGGTGCTTTTTGGGAGCAGGCCATTGGGGCAGAAAGGAAAGTACACAGCTCCCATCTTCAACATTCCTTCCTTCCTTCTGCTCTGCTATAAAGGCAAGAAGGTCCTGTTTGTTAGGCTCTGACAAGACTGCTGCTCTCTTAGGGCCCTCTCATCTTGTTTCACAGCAGCTCTGTCCTGTCGTGGACTGGAAGTCCAGGCTGGCAGTTGTCTGCCCCTGCTCTAGTACCCTTTCCTTTAGGAATTGCTGTTCTGGGAAGAGGTTGTCTGCTCTGCCCAACGCAGCCTGCTATGTCTGTTCTGGAGGTAGCAATACTAATGTTTTGTCAGAGGAAACGTCTCTCCCACCTCTTGCCAGATACTACAGTTCCCCCATCTGTGAGTGATTTATGTGGCTTGAAGTCTTACTTCAAAAGACTTCTTGCTTCCCAGGCTGGTGTCTGAGCTGATGTTGGTCTGTCCTGTGCAGGTCTCCACCACTGATATCAGTTCATCTCTCAGCAAGCAAGTTCTCGGAGCCTGCCACCCTCTCTGCAGGCATCGCCACCTTCCTGATGGGTGACACCCAGCCTGATGGCACTGCCACTACGAGCCAAAACACCACATCTTCTGGGAGGGCCAGGGTCAAGTTCTTTAGAAGCCCAAGCAAAGAGCTTAGGCAGAAGCCAGCTAATGCTATTGAGTCATTCTTCCAAAAGGCAGCAGATCAGCAGCCATCACAAGCAACAACAGCAGCAACCAGCTTGCCCACTGCTACCACTGCAGGGTCACCTGTGCCCAGCTCCCCAGATCACCAGGAGAGAGCTGGTGTTAGACTTGCCTCTGTGCAGTGTGACCTGGAGTCCCCTGTGAAGCGGAGTCCCAGCGATACCAGCCCTACTTCTCCTTACAAGAGGCTTCCTTGTGAGAAGCTGCCATCAGATGCTACCCAAACACCCTCAACTCCACCCAGCTCCAGGACCTTTCTGAAATTACAGCCAGCTATGGAGGGAAATGAGCAGAATTTGCCACCCTCTCCTGAGCTTGTCCCGCTGCCTCCTGTATCGCCAGGAGACCAGCAGTGCTGTGATAAATGTGGCCAGCTTGTGCTGGTGTGGGAATTCCCAGAGCACATGGACTACCACTTTGCTCTGGAGTTGCAAAGCTCCTTTCTGAAGCCCAGTGCTCCCATGACTCCAGCAGCAGCTCCCAACCCACAGGCTGGAGGTTCCAGGTCTCCTGCCAAGGTGAAGAACAAGCCCAAAACTCCAGCAGGATCTAGTGCAAAACGACCCAAAGAAGGTGTAACAAGAACTTTAGATTTTTTCTTTAAGCGCTTACCTCCGTAACTCCCAGCCAAATTAGGTGTTTTTAAAGACTCAGTGTTTTTAAAGACTCAGTGTTTTTAAAGAACCAGTGTTTTTAAAGAACCAGTGTTTTTAAAGAACCAGTGTTTTTAAAGAACCAGTGTTTTCAAAGAATTGGTGTTTTTAATCACAGTTAAAAGTTTTTATACTGCCTGTCAAGTTTTAATGCAGAAAAGTCTAATAAATTATCTCTACCCCACGTCTAAAAGGAACTGGAACTTGTGAATTGTGTATGATGTTAGATGTACCCAGTTTAGCTGGTGGCAGCTAGCTTGCCTCTGCCTGCTCGGTGCTACTAGAAGCTGCATTGTACTCTCACCCACATCTCTTGCCATAGGTATTTCCATAGCATCACTGCTCAGTAATTCTGTTCCTCCTGTAAAAGGCAGCCGCAATGGCTTATCCCAGGGAATCTCCAGCCAAGCATAGGCTTGAACTCCTTTCCAATCACTCAGTGTGAAACCTTCACCTCATGGTGGTTCTTCTCTTGCTGCAGATGCAGGCCTTGTCCTTACTGTATAACTTATATATCATAGCTTAGCCCTGTGCTTCCTTCTCCCCTCCCTACCTGGAAGACACTGATTTTTATTCCCTCCCTTCTGCCCCCCAGGATTTTCATTATAGATGGTTTTGCAATTTCCTCTGTGTAGCAGTCTATTTTGTGATGCTTATCACCAGCTCAGGAGCACACAAGACTACTCCTCCCATAAGATTTGAGGAAGCAGTAGCTGCACAGGCATACTTTTTGGTGGACTTTTGGAAATCTTGGTTTTAATTCCTAATAATTGCTATAGACACATAAACAGTCTACTGCTAGAGTCCTCCCAGAAGGGACAGAAAACATGCCAGAGTCATACAGCCCACTGTGAAAGCTCTTCTCTGCCAAAGAAAGAGTGTATAACCACATTTTTCCTCCTTCCCAGACTCTTGAGTAATACTAGATGCAACTGGTTGACAGGTACCTGTTCTGACTGTGCTCTGCCAAATGACTTTTTCAGCTCTCTGGGCCACAGTTCACATCAGAGTGGCTGCCCCAGCGCCCCACAAATTACAACAGCCAACAAAGCAGAACATTGTGGAAGGGACAAGTAGGCAATGAAAGAGGGTGGGACAGGCTCCAGTGCAAAAGCAGTGCTTGCCCTCAGCTGCCTGGCAGGGCTCAGCTCTGTGCTACACCACAAGCTGCCCGGAGCCCGCCAGAAGCACTGCTGCCAATAATTTGAACTTGGCTCCTAGGGAAGGGGGAAGGAACATGCCACGTCAAGGCAGCACTGGGTGGGGTTAGGAAACACATTGCAGGGAGTTTCGTCAGCTGCAGACTTCCCTTCCTCGGGGAAGGGGGGAAGAGAGCCTTTGAGGCAGCAGATAATGATGCAAACTGCAGCTCTATTTGCATGTGCTGTTTTCTGGACTGTACTATCCTAATTGCAGCTGTTGAGCTGCTCCTTCCAGCTGACAGCCTATGCTGGGAAGGTGCTACATTACTGGGGGAGGGGTGGGGTGTGTCTCATACTTGACAACACAATTGTGAGATTTCAAGAAGCACAAGAAGCTCATTCTGGTGCATGCAGCTCTGCTGGCAATCAGCAGAGGAAGGAATTATGGAGTCACTCCCACTAATGACAGTCCTAACGCAAAGTGACAAGTGTTCTTAAGTCCTCACATAAAGAGAAACAGCAACCAGTCTGGCAAGATTGCCTCATGCTTTTGTGACAGTGGCACGTCTCATTTCCCAAGTGTCTGGCAGGACCGGACTCTGCAGATGCCACTACCTGACACAAAAACAAGTTTAGAAGAGGCAAATCCCTTCAGTGACACAGGTACCCTCCACAGGGAAGCCTTCCTGCCTCTGCTTTTTCCCAAGGGAACAACCTGTTCTTATGGAGAGAAGGCAGTCGCAAACCCCTTGATAAGGTCGGAGCTATTTTAAAAACAAACCATCTAGGTTACATGTGTGCCCTAGAAAGCATCTCTTTAATTAGGCTCTGGGGGAATTTGTGACTGCGAGGAAGCTCTCACCACAGACGGTTCCGCCCACAACAGCCTGAAGTGCTGTGCTCAGGGTGACGTTGCTGCCTGTCACCTCGGGCTGCACGCCCAGGCTTACTCAGATAAGCCGGGAGCGCAGGGTTGTAAACAGCAGCGCGTGCATTCCTTCCACACCACGGACTGGTATTTATAGGAACGAATGCAGGAAGCTTAGGAACGGGTGAAGGGTAGCCATCTCCAACTGTGATTCAGCCCCAAGGGCAGCAGGGTAAGGGCCCAGCTCCACCCTCACTTATTGTATAACTCAGACAGCAAGCTCAATAAAACATCTTTATTCTGTACATTTATATATAGATGCTTGGGGAACAGGGACAACCCCCAGCATTAGAAAAATTCAAGACAACAAAACAGCAATTATGAAGAGCATGGCACCAAGAACAGTCATGCCACAGATGGCAGGGATGAGGTGAGACCAGCCATTGGCTGTTTCAGAAAAGGTCACAGCACCCCATGCCCACTTTGGAGCAGAAAACACCAGGGCTGCTGCAAAGAGCTGGAGCTCTCCCCCCATACTCCCTGGTAGCTTTCTTTGTGACCCACTAGCACCAAAGGGAAGACTGCTGGCAGCTGGGGCCCGCAGGCATTGGTGAAAAGACTGTGTCACTGGAATACCCAGCCCACTGTCAGGATGGGAAAAAAGGGATCCTTCTTGGGCAGTGACCCTGAGCCAGCAGCTCCTTTCTCACTGCTGGGCTGATGGGGATGCAGCAGAGGTTTCTGCTGGATCAGTGCTTCCTCCAGGGACAGGTCACTCCTGAGCTGCCTTCCCTTCATTTATACCACCATTTGACCGGCTTCCCCATGCCTCAGCAGTCTCTTCGCAGGGTGCAGACGCCCCCTCCTCGCCTGCCAGAGCCCTTCCCACTGCAAAGTGCGGCTCTGCGATGCCCACAAATCTGCACAGCCCCACAGCCAGTGCCTGTGCCAGCAGCCCAGAAGCAGAACTTGCTCTCAGGATGGCAGAAGGGCTCTTTGGGTGTCCAAGTGCTATCACAGGCCCTTGCCCTTCTCTTTGGTCAGGGCTAGCAGGCCACCACGCCATGCGGCAGGGCTGGCTGAAGACCTGTTGCTCACAGCAGACACATTTGGTCTAACAGTCAACAATAAAACCAAAAGCCTATGTACAACTTTACAGATCTTGTTGCATCAGGCTACACAGGAGAGCTGCATAACAGGGAGTGGGAGACAAATGTGCTCCACTCTATGTACAGAGTCCTTGCTGGCAACATCAGCTTTCCTCTGACAACAAACCCCAGTGGCAAGGGAAAGAAAGGAATTCTTCCTCCAGGAGAAACAGAAATATAATCATGCCACTGTCAAATCACATCTAAACAACATAAGTCACCTGGTTTTGTGTAGCCTGTCCTCACACATTAAGGCAAGCGTGTGAGGAGCAAGCTGGGCTGGGAAAAGCCACACCAGGGAGCCCACTGCAAACCACTGCTACCAACGTGCAGATGACACCGTCAGCTGAACATCCATGGAACAACCTGCTCACACCAGCACAGGCCCAGGCCCTGCTCTGCTCCACAGAATGGCCTCCCGTTCAGCTGCTGCAAGGAACAGATGCAAGTACAGACTGTCTTCATGACATTATTTCAGGATGCTGTGCCACTCAGAGCAGCCACAGCTTCCTGGGAGTCAGAAAGCAGGATGCTGAAGAAATGTGTACGCGTGAGTGAGGAACATGACATCTGTCCAACAGTAAGACACTCAGATTGGAATAACGCAAAACCAACACACAAATGGACACACAGCAGATTAAAGCCAACCAAGATTCAAACGGTTAAAAAGTGTCCTGAATGCATTCTGAGAGGCTCAGCCAAGCCCCTGCAGTAGGCAGCATGGCCTCTTCCATCCTCTGCCCAGAAGGATGTGCTGCAGGATGACTTGGGAGAGGACTGTTATCAACCCAGTGCTCAGAGAGCAGAAATGGGACCAAATCTTGTGTCAGAGATGGGAAAATGTCCCTTCACTGCTCATCTTCAAGGGCTCTGCTCCTCCCAACCAGCAATTTTCAAACAGTAAACAAAGCCAGAACTTGCCTGCCCAGGTCTGCAGGTGCCTCTGATCTATTCTGAAGAAGAGCAGGTTAATGAGAGCTGCAGGCGATCTGGAGAACATGCTTAACTTGCCCCATGTACGGTATTGAATGTGAGAGACTCTCCCAGGCTCCATCTCAGAGTGCAGAGGAGGGACATCCACTCTAGAATGGGACAGCAGCAGCTCCAGGCATCGCTCAGAAAGCCACAGGAGCTCCCATCTTTCTCCCCAGGTGCTGGTGAGTGGAGATTTCTCTGACCTACTGGTAGTCAGAAGCTCAGCTGTCCAGGCCCCAGGGACTCCTCCAGGCCATTTTCTTTGGTAGTGATGGCTTGGAGGTCAGTGACATGCCCAATACCTTTGGTGACTCCTTCACGGAAAAGCAGTTTGGCTCCGATCTTCAAGTATTCAGGATGCTTGATGAACCTGAAACAGACCACTGCCTTCTCTCCTGTCCGCAGCTTGTCCTGAAAAGAAAAACAGGAGAGCTTAGACCTACCTCCCAAACCAGTGCATGCAGGAGAGATGCATGTGGATGGTAAGATGAAGCAAATGAGCAGGTTGCTTTCCTCAGACTGCATGGCTTGAGCCCTTCCCATTACTGTATGCATATGGAAGGACAGGAAGACACAAGCTCTGGAGAGTTCACCTCTATTCACAGTCTTGCTGTAGTTCATCGTGCTGTTTGTTTTGAGGGAGGGAATTCTTTAACATGTTGGGAGGAAAAGCAACCAAAGGGGCAGGATAAAGCGATGGAGTGTGTTCCTAGGAAAAGACACAGCTACTCAAAATAATAGTAGCCCCTAGCTTTACTATAGGCCATGGTGTTAAAAAAAAAAACCACAGGGAAGGTTCATTTTCCTCCCCTTCCTTCCTATGGCCTACCTTTCCGTGGATCTTCTCTACGATAGCTGTCTGTCGCACATTCCCCACATGCACCGTCACCTGAAACCCCTTCCGGAAAGTTGTGGCATGGAACAACAACACGATCTCGGCTTCAAACACTGAGCAGATGGTGGGGTTCATTTCTGGGCTCACCATTACCATACCCTGCAGAACAACCCAAGGCTCAGACTAGGTAGGGCCAGTCCCCTTGCTTCTGAACAGCCCGCAAAATCACAAACACATCTCCACTCTGTGACTGGGGCTTGCATCCCATTCTCAGCCTTGTACTCATCCTACTTTGTAGCTTGGCCATTTCCTCCCCTTCCAGCAAGTTTCCTGCAAACATCTCTACTTCATTCCCACCCTTCCAATGGGGGATCTCCAGGGAAGCCTCCAGTCCTGCCCGCTAACCAGTGAACAACCTGGCGACAGCAGGACTCACCTTGCGCAGCAGGGAGCGGTCAAAGGGTCCGAGGGCCAGAGTGGCTGCCTGCCCAGCCCGCAGTACACGACAGGCAGAGCGGTTCCGTTGGATACTGCACACCTTCAGCCGGAGGAACTTCCCATCGTCGGTGGGACCAACCACCAAGTTCTCCCCTTCTCGGCAGATCCCACTGCCCAGGGCAGAAGAGCAGGACACAGTTCATCAGGAGACAAGAAAGACATTTCACCCTCCAAGATCAACCTGCACAAATTCCCCAGTGCCAAGGAGGTGAGTGTCTTTGGACTATTATCCGGGACCAACTAACAGGGATACAGAGCTGGTGAGAATAGGGATTTCTTACAGCAGGGAAAGCCACACTATCACTCCCAAGAATCCCAGGTATAGACAGGGGCCATTCCACCCCCAGTGCTCTGCTACACTGCATTGTTTCTGGTGGAGAGACTTCAGATGATGCCTGTTCTGTGTGGATGTGCTGGTAGCCAAACTGCTCTGATTGCTCCTGGACACGGAGGGACAGCTGCCTTTTCATGGTGAAGCATGTAGTTAACCCCTGCTGGAATGGGAGGATTTGCCCTCTACATTCCCTCCCTCTGCTTGACAAAGGAGGAAAGCAATGCCTTGGGATCATGGCTAACCTCTGCCAACTCTGGATTCCTGGATGCCTTCTTTCAGCATGCAACACAACACATTCCTAATCCAGCAACTTTAGGGCAGATTCTTTGCTTGCCACCATGTGACCAATGGTCTGCTCATGCCACCTCCCAGCACCCTGTAGGGCTCTACCCTCATTTGGCCCAGTCACCTGGCAGCAGTCAGGACTGAGCCTCGCCCAGCTTCCACTTCTGCAGCGAGGCACTCTGCCCTTGCGGGAACTCCAGCAACCATTCACATCCACACTTGTCTGCCTGGCTTCACTTACCTCGACAAAGTTCCTCCCACAACAGTCCCCACCTCTGGCACAGTATAAATTTCATCAACCTGCAGCAAGGCAACAAGAATAAGCTGCTCAGACAGACAGCTGTGAAACAGCACTCCAGAAATGAGGACAAGGTGCCTGCCCCTTGTGTGAAGGAGGTGAGCTCTCTGCTGGTCATCAGACACCGTCTAGGAGCTTAACCAGCTCCCACTACCCTCCCATTAGAGGAATATCTGCCTTTTAAGTGGCAACCAGAGAAACAATCTTATCCCTGAGACAAATAGCCCTTGGTTAGGACACAGCTCAGCCTACCATATTTTTCTCAAGGACCGAGTCCTTTCCTTAATATCTTCCAATAGTCCAGGAGTTCACGACATCTCTACCCATGGTGTCCAGATTCCCCAGAAGTTTCTCCCATGGCACAGCAATGACTGCAGTATCAGAAACTACCCTTACGCACCTGAAATTCTGTAAGCTGCTGCATTAATTCTTCCTGCTCTTTACTGTTGGTCAGAGGAGGGAGGATGTTGAGGAAGACTTTTAAGAGATCCAGGTTCTCCCCAGAAACACTGGACAGCGTGAAGATTGGGGTGATGCTGTCAGACACAAATAGACAGAAGTAAGCAGAAGGCCAGAGTGAAGCTGTGGAAGATTTCTGGGATTCTGAATCTACTGAGATCAGCAGGAGGACAGAGACTACAGTGATAAGTGGCTAAAACACGAGGGCTAGGTACAGCTGTGCAGTAACCCCTGCCTCAACAGTTGGTTGAGGCACCAATCCCCTGCCAGCCCACACTTCTGTCATGCAGAAGTAACTCCAGTGCAGCCTTGGGCACCTTCTGCTCCCCAAGCCCAGAAAAAGGTCTGGGAGGGGAAAATGCCTTCTGGGAGAATGCAAAGGTAGGAAGCTTGATGAGGAGCTGAGATTTTCAAGATTTGGTCAGCTCCTCTTGTGGTTGCCCTTCCTCAGCTCTGCATGGCAGCCTTGTCTGAATTGCCTGCTCCCAGAAGAAGAAAGGAATGGTGCCTTACTTGGGAGATTGTGCAAACTGTTGTGCTGCTGTAACAGCGTCGTCATCTGAGTTCACAAGCAGGGGGAGCTTGTTGCAGCCTGGCTGCTTCAGGATTCGCTCCAGCTGCTTCACTGTCCGTTCCACAGTGGCTTTTGAACACAAGTCAACTTTGCTGATGACAATGAAGAAGGGGACCTTGAGGGCCATGGCCAACCCCAAGTGCTCTCGCGTTGTGCCCGCTGCAGGAGACAACAGAGAGTGTAGGTGCAGCAGCAGTCATCACTGTTGCTTGTTTATGTCATGGCTACATCTCCTGGCCACCCCACAGGCCCACTCTTGAGATTTGCCTGTAACTGTGTAGTTCATCAGGCAAAGAAAAAGCAAAATCACTTTTTTAAACAGACCAAACATCAGTCCAGAAAAATAAAAACCACAAAGAATTTTTGTGATTGATCTGGTTGTTTCAAAAAGATGCAGCAGTTTTCATTCTTGGGCTAGAGTTTGCCAGAAAACAGCCACAAAAATGTCAAAGATAGATGTGGGAGAACTCCAGCTGCCTTTTTACAAGGCTTCAGGATTCAGCATCCCTAAGTATATGTCAAAGTTGTTTTCTTTTCCAACAAACATAGCCCCAAATTCCAAAAAAAGCCTTTCTGTCCAGGGTACAGTTTAATGTGGTCTATAGCTGGTAAAAGGATCCCAGCTCTACTCCCCTCCCAGGCACTCATACACACTGGCTTACAAGAAATCAGTAAAGGTTTCCAGACTAATAATTTCTTCTGACAACTGTTCGCAGCAAACAAGGACCCACTCCCACCATTCTCCATTTTCTTCACACATTGCTGTTCATCCATGCAGGCCGGGCAAAACTCACCAATGCCAGTGTTGGCGCTAACCACCAGCATGGCAAAGTCTGGGCAGTAGCTGGTGAGGCCAAAGATGGTTGTTTTCAGATACTTGTGGTGGCCAGCCAGGTCAATGAAAGTGATCATTTTGGAAGAACTTTCACAGATCTCTTCTGCTGTCCTGGAGTCACTGTAATTTACCACCTGAGAAACATAAGGAATTGGTGAGAGAGGCAGCCCCAGCAGGGAAGTGAAAAAACCCCAGCTCTTATCTACCCACTTTGATCTCAGAATCAGTAAGGAGTGATCATCCACCATGGGTGTAAGATACAATGTCTGTTGCAAATCGACAAGTAGCCCTCAGGTTCAGCCTAAGGGACATAGAGCTGTGCCACCTCTCTTCTCTCATGTCCCACTCACAGTTGTAATAGGAGGGTAGTCCTATTCTCCTCCAGCTTTCTGAGTTCAGCAGCCCACTCCCCTCACCTCTCCTTTGCTGTTGAAGCCGAGGATCTCAAAGCTGATGCTTGACGTTCTTCCTGACTGGATTTCATGGAGGTGCCGGAAAAGGTTGAGGCGTGCCCTGCCCCGCCCGTTGTCCAGCTCTCCTTGCGTTAGTACACCCAACAGTGTTGACTTCCCTGAGTCCACGTTCCCCAGCACAGCTACTCGAAGGTCTAAGAACTACAGGTAAAAGAAGAGAGAAATCATGAAACTTAACCACTGCTGTGCTGAGTGTGATGAGCACTACATTGCAGTGGAGATGCACCTCAGAGAGCATCCCTAGATGAGGGACACTGTGCAGTGTAATCTTGCTCAGATTCTGCTCTTGCTCCCAGCAAACCACTGCCCAGCAAACGTGATACACTTTAGAGTTGTGATGTGACACACCAGCCTTTGATATCACAAAAAAGGCCATTTGCTGCAGCAGGACCTCTAAATCCTTCCTTGTTTGCACACTGGCCTGCATCAGAACCACTACCATAGAAATGATTTTTCACCTCTGATCCAGCCAATCTCCCCCACTGATACTGGTCTCAACTACAGTCTTGGACACAAGAAGTGTTATCATTAAGCCTCCCTCTGGCAGCTCTTTAAAGCATCTGCTATGGGCCAATCTATGAAAAAGTGCCTCTAGGGTTTGGGCTCCCATCCCAAAAGGAAGCTGATTATTTGAAGCCTCTAAGTCTCCAGCAGGAGAGGATGTCCAAGTCACAGGTCCCTACCTGCTGGTTGTCAGGCACCTTTCGGACAAGCACCTCTGTTATCTTCCTTGGAACGTCACTGTCGTAATCGACCTCCCTTTCCCGCAGCACTGTAATGTCAGCCCCAACCCTGCCACGAAAATGAAAGGAAGGAGTGAGACACACTTGTACTCGACAGATCTTGCACCTCTACAATAACAGCTGACATAGAGAGTGGGATAAAAGCTGGTGATAGCAGGCAAGGAGCCTCAAGCTTCCAGACAGAAGCCCTATAACCTCCTTTATGTTTCCAGAGCCTCACGACTGAAGGAATTCCAGTCATACAGGGGCTTTTTAGAATGGAGCCACTGGCTGCTGAGCAGACTCCTGGGGCTGAGCCTCTCTGCTGGAGGCTGTTGATGCTTGTGGGCCCTGCAGACAAAAAGGAACACATACTTCTCTGCCATGCGGCGCAGGGTCTTGAGTGAGGCACGCATCTCCTCCTCTGAGAGGCCCACCAGCAGCCCGTTGTCCTCCACGCCGATCTGATAGACGGCTTCACCGCGGCCCTCCTGCAGTCGCCACTTCATCTGTGTCACCAGGTGCTCAAAGCGGTACTGCGAGGGGTTCACCAGCTTCAGCTGTTTAACAGAGGGGTAGTTCCAGTCACAGCCTGGATGCACAGGGAATCTAATTGCCCAAGCCAGCAACTCCCAATACTGTGAAGCAATGCTTCCAACTCTGACCCACCTCTAGAAAGCACAGCCTGTGTTACTGTCTGCACAGAAGCTATGGGACAGCTGAGAAAGGGTTTCACAAGGTGCATACATGTGGCAGAAGAACTTTTCTGCATTGTGACAAAGGGGTCTGCACCCTGCCTGCTGTGGGGGTAAAGACAGCACTCTGGGACCCATCTGTGACACAGGAGCCAAGTAAATGCAACTGAGAGCAGCCACAGGGAAGTGGCAAATCATTATCAGGGACACCTGCTGCTCTCTCAAAACATGTACATTTCAGGAAAAACACAGTAGGCCTCATCTCCTAAAACAGATTACTAAAAAGGAGTACTGAGATCAAACTCTTCAAGCTCAGCATACTGGGTATTGTTAGGCATAGAGACAAAGAAGATGACTGGTAGTTCCTTAGTACAGTGTCCACTTCTCTGTCCCCTCCTTGTCCATGTTACCCATAGGCTGTCTTTGGTGAAGTTACTCACTGCAAAATAACCCTCTGGGAGGAAGACCTCCTTCTGCAACCTCAAAAAGACTCACCTTGTACTCGATGTTCCCATCTTCTGCCTGGTCAGAGAATGAAAGAAGACAGAAGAGTTAGATGCTGTGCCCATGAGGACTTCTACAGGCACCAGCTGCCCAGATACTCTGCAGCTGGTGCTCAGGATTTCAGAGAGAGGAGAAAGTGGCAGAAAGAGACTGGTTTAGCTCCCACCCTCTTCTGACATTCCTTCCTATACTCAACTAGAACTTTCCTTACGGTTTGTTTTTGCTGTTTGCATCTCACATCATGAACAGCAGAGGACAAAACTAAAGTGGAACACAGGGGTAATACTGTCAGGGCAGGGGGGATTTTTTTTTTACTGACAGTAAAGAATAGGGCTAGCCTACCAGTCACACAGAGAGAGAGTTCCAGTTTCAAAAAGGCACAGGCTAGCATATGATTTAAAGTCTCCCCCCTCACCCATCCATGACCCACAAAATGCCACCGACAGCATCCCACTCCCACCCTATCCAGCAGCTTCCATTCACCCAATGTGCACAGAAACAGGAGACTGGGAACAAAAGTCACTGCCTCCTCTCCTGCACACTGATACCCTCCCTCACTCAATTAGTTTTTCATTGACTCCTTTACATATCCTTGTGTATCTTCTCTCTACAAGAAAGGACTACAGACATAAGGAAGCAAGGTAATGATTTCTTTGAAGTACAGCAAACTAGTCACTGGCCTGGCAGTTCTGGAGTACCAGACTTTATCGGGACTGTCTGTATGCAATGTGCTCAGAAAAACTTTCCCAGGAAGGGCTGAAGCCCAACTGGGTTGTTACAGAAAGGCTCAGGTACTCCTCAAGCGCACTCCAACCACAACACACTCCAACTAACCAAAGACAATGTCTAGTTAATACTGAAGTAATTTTCCCATTGATTCGGTATGAGAGAAGGGGCTGAAGAAAGGGCTGGAGCCTGCAGGAAGCCACGTACTTTGTCAGATTAAATGGGGCTGGCAACAGTAAGCACTTCCTTTTCCTCTGGACACCTATTTGCATGTGTTTGCAGAGGGCAATAGCCGTCTCCTTGCCTTCTAGCTCAGCTCCTAATGACAGCGGTGCTTATGGTGGCAAAAGGCCAACAGAAGTTCTCAATTGTCAGCTCAGCTCTCAGGCAGCAGAGCTATGCAGTGAGAAAAGGGTACTTGTGGAAGGTTTTCCTCTCTTACCACCTTTCCAGTTCTAAGAAAAACACATTCACATCCTGCACTGTCGTCTAAATAAGGGGGTGGGTCTCCTTCAAGGCTGCTGAAGAACAGAAAAGCAACAAGCCTAGACTTGCTGGGGCACACACTGCACAGGGTAGCCAGGGACAGGAAGCTGCGTTGAAACCACAGGGGACTGTCCAGCCTCCAGCTGAAAGGAACAAGAACTAAACTGTGGCTGCAGGGCGCAGTCCTGCCCATGGAGAAGATCTAACAGTAGCAAAGCACTGTTTTCCCTTCTTGCCAAGCATCACAGCCTTGCCTTGTGGAAGGACTGCTCCCTCCCAGCACAGGCTCTTATATATTTTACAGAAAGCTCACTGACTGGGGCTGAGCAATGGAGTCTGGGGCAACGTAACTCTCTCCATGGTGTCAGTCCTCTTAGTTTGGTGCCAGCTGCCTCAGCGAACCACACATCCACCTACGACCAATGCACCTTTTCCTGCTGCAAGAGGCAACTGCCTCACACTCTGTCAGTACCACGTGCATCCCCACGTAAGAAAACAGTTGTCAAATTAGCTGGGAAGGGAGTCACTGGAACCTGCTGAGTTTGGCAGCTGGAAAGGGATTTAGACCCACAGATCATTCTCTCAGGGAGAGATGTGAACGGGATGCTCGGGACTGTGAGGCGTGCAAAGCTTTATTTCCGAAGCTATGTCGTTCCCAGACAGCAAAGCGCCCACAGACGGACGCCAGGCAGTGGGATACTACTCGCGGACAGGGTCTGGCGGACTGCGCGGGGAACTCGCTGTCACCGGAGGCACAAGCACTGCGCAGAGGAGACCGAGTCAGGCGGGCACACAGCTACCGGGGCTCTTGCCACGTCTGCTGCCGGCCCGACCCCCGCACGGCCCCGCACCCGCACCTCCAGGCTGACCCGCGACCAAACCTGCGAGGCCCGGGCACCGACCAGCCCAGGGGGTGCGTGGGGACACCATCCCTCCGCCCCGGGGCCCGACCCCGCTCCCTCCGCGGCTGACGGGACGCGGCGGCGTCGGAGCTCACCTCGGGCGGCAGGTACGGTGGGTTGTTGGCCTTGCCCCCCCGGCTCCGCCCGTTCTTCTTCTTCGCCTTCGAGCCGCCGCCGCCGCCGCCGCCGGGCGCGGTCCCCCCGCGCCCGCGCAGCGC